CCTTCACCTCCCTATTCTCTCATGGCAGTTGACTGGGAATTAGCTCCTGGAAGTGCTGCCTTGGATTGGGTTAACTCCCTTACCTTCCCCCCAACGAGAGGCAGGATGTGCATTTTCCCCGTGAGGCTGTCCTTGACGGAGGCCACGATGAGGCAGGTGCCGCAGAGGATGACCTGCCTCTCCGCCCACTTGTGGAGCTGCGTCTTGCCCTTGCGCACGCTGAACACACCTTTGAGAAGAGTGCGCTCCAGCTGGTCGGCATTCAGGGGCTTCTCTGTGAAGGCAAAGGGAACACAGGCCTGGTCAGCCCACACAGCTTTTCTCTGTGGGGTGATTATTTGCATTCATTATACATTTGCATTCCATCCCACTATCGGACACCTGCAGAAAACCTATATTCAGAAAATATTTTCCACTCCAGTGCCTTTCCGATATAGTACTTAAGAATAAGTTACAATAGTAACACAACACATTTTCATCTCTGCCCAAAATGACTTGTCCATGAGATAGATGGCCAGCTTCCGTCATAATAAGCACTAAAGAAAGTAAAGGGATTGTGATCTCTTCTCCGAGCGACTCTGATATTTAAAAAGAAGTATGTTTTGAATGAATGTCTATACAGTGCACTCTGTGCAGGAAATTATGTTGGACCAGGTGTTCTCCAAGATACAAGCTGACATGCCCTTTTCTAAAGCAGCAACACTTAATGCTTTTCAAAAACAAAGCACAATTTAATAAGCCTTTCAAATAAAGTATAACTTGGCAGTATCGTGGCAATATGCTAACCCAGATGCATCAGTCAAGCTGAAGAACAAATCGGGATTTTGTCATGCTTATATTAAATGACCTGATTTCTGGCTAATTATCACTGAAGGGTTCTGTTGCCAAGCCTTTATACATAAGGAAGCTCAAGGACACCTTGAATAATGCCTCTGAAGGTGGCTGAGATACACGGAAGCTCGAAGCATTAAATGTTTTTTTTTTCTTCTAATTCTCAGTTCTGAATTGTGCTTTCATAAAACAAACGTGGAGTGAGACCCCCTGGGCTTTCGGTGTTTATAACTGCAGGAACTGCAAAGTGAACAATAAGCCACTTTGACTTTGTATTGATTGAAAATCCAACAAAGAACAACCTTATCTAACAACAAACGACAAGCGGCTAATCGATAGCCTTGTCTCCTTCTTCAGCTCCCCCTTGCTGAAGGCCCTGCCCCACAGTCTTGACGCCAAGGCAGCTGGCCTGACTGTGCAGCTCGGGGGGACGCAGACCTGCTGCTGCAGTGTCCTGAGCCTATCCTCCATCGCAGGGCAGAGTGTTGCTGGGAAAGTGGAGAGGGTGAGTACTAGCCTGTCACAGACAGCGCAGGAGAATAGCAGGAAGCCGACAGGACAGCCCTAACATCCTACACACCCATACAGATGCCAAGCCACTCGTATTTTGGTTCTGGGGTATTATGGTCTTTGAAAAAAACACTTAGGCGAGAAGCGAGTGCTACTGGCACGTAGGAAGATGTGTCCCCGGTTGTCTGTCTAGGGAATTTCCTGCTCCACTTCCAGATGATCTGGGGCAAAGCACACTCTGACCTTACTCCCCAAGTACATCACAACCTACCCGCTTGTCCGACAAGCCTGCGTCGTTCTCCTCCAGCGGCTTTTTCCAAACAAACATTCGAGGTGTTTGCACTAAACCTGTTACCTGTCACACCTGTTATCCTCAAAGTCGATCTCTGCAATAAGCACTGGAAAACTGAATACTGCTATGCATTTGAATTTAAGAACATAAATATGGGGGAGGGAGGAGAGGGTTGTTTGTCAACACTGTGGTAAAGAAGAATCCCCTATAGGATAAGATCACTTTATTAGCCCTAGACAATTTCTTGCACTGGGAATCTTTTTGCATACCCCAGCTTGCTCTCCATGAGACACACAGACACAGATAGGGAAAGAGAAGCCTGTGGTCAGAGTGCAGGGTCAGCCATTGTACAAGGCCCCTGGAGCAGCTGGGGCTAAGGGCCTTGCTCAGGGGCCCAATAGAGTAGGATTCCTATGCCAGCTGTGGGATTTGAACCGGCAACCTACCGGTCACAGGCACGGATCCTTAGCCACAGAGCCACCACTTCCCCCTCTATCCCCCATTTCTAAAAACTGTCACATATGCACAAAAAACAACAGAGGAAGCATCAGATGAACTAATACTGACAAGGCCCATCACAATCACTCACATTTAAATGTAGCTGCAGCCTGTATGCTAAGGTTTTCTTCCCCTATAACAACTGTGGCTGGGCACCCTGTGTAAATGAAACAGCAACAATGGGCAAGTCTCGAAGGCGGCCACTAGTGGCAGCCACGTTGTCACTGCACCCTCCGGTCTGGCCCACAGGGCACTCTGCCACACTGTCCATTTGCACTTGAGCAAAACTTTTTGCCCTTGAAAAGTACTTCGACGAGATTAACAAGAAGCCTTCTTATCTCACGTTATGCACGCCAGCCTGCACTCTGAGTCTGAACGTCTTGAAGGACAAATGTAGGATACACTCCTAATTCATGCCGCAGTTTTTATACTGAAGTGCTAACGAAGCACTGAAATGTAAACATTTTCAACAATGTTGTCAAATCGATTTGTGATTAAATTCACTGCAAAACTGTGAACAAAGAGTATCACCAAATCACTCCAGGTTCACTCATAGCCATTTCTGTTCAAGACTACAAAGTTCCAATTCTTTCAGCCTGTCAGTCTAGAATACTCCCTTAAGCCTTAACCTATCTGGTTGCTCATTTCTGGACTGGCAGCTTTTATATACCATTTGTGGCCATATTGGTGCATTATATAATTTTAACAATACTTAATTAAAATCCTACACTTCAATTATATATCCTAGCATTTTGTCTGCATTTTTAACCACTTTAAATCTTGAAGATGTAAATATCTCAACATAAACACCTCCGTCTTTATTTTATCACTAACCACATCAGACACAGCATTTTCTAATTTGTATTGAATTTTTACAGTTTTGCTACCTGCAAGTATGATAGTTCAATTTCTTTAAAGAAGAAAACAGGACTGTTCTTACAATTCATCTCCGTCAAAGTTGACAACGCACAACAACCAACACATACTCTGCTTAAAACGTATTAGAAAGAAGCCTAACTTTGACGTTCAGTACAAGGAACACAGCCTTTTCAAAAAGAAGGCCCACCGTATTCACCCAGAAGAGGCAGTCAGCAGCTCTACATCTCTGATGACACAAATTGCTTTGATAGGGAGCCTGGCACAGGGACCAGCGACCAGGGATGTCACAGGAGACGCCTCACGACCCATCCCCATCCCGAGCTCATGCAGTCTACCCTTGCTTGCAGGTGGATTTCAAGTTGCTCGAGTCTTCTTTAAGGATGCTTAGAGCAAGAGCTTGGCAGGAGGACAGTATTGGAATGAAATAAAGGCCAATGGCCTAAAGGTCAGTGCGCTTAGGCTACCCAGTACTCATGAGCTTGATTCTTTAAGAATAAGGTGAAGATCTTAATAGTTTAAATGGAGAAAGGCACCATATGGAGCACAAATGATATATATGGCAGCATTTTTAACTGTTTTCAGTACCAGTGCTCTAGTACTGAAAATATGCTAGGACATTTAACATTTAACATTTAACCGCTCTTAGTTGTACATAACACTTTCAGACAAATCACAATATTGGTACTAGAATCTCACTGGGATTGCAGACAGTTATGCATCACAAATCTTCTCATTAATTAATTTCTTTCCCTGTTGTCAGAGAATTATTCCAACCCTTAGCCTCCTATGGAGATAAAAATCTACAATCACCAACTTTATCTTTATTTTTAAATCGTGTTTTTCTGTTCTACACCATTCTGCAGATTAGGGTCATTTACAGGGGACAGAAAAAGCTTACAAAACTCAAATTGGCTACACTTCAGACAAGTGGTAAAAATAGAACCGTCGCTGTAGCTTTTGTGAGAAGATCAGCAATAAGGATTAGAGTAATGCACAGCTATATGACAGCAGATCCAAGCAGCATTCTAAGGAAACTAACACATGTACCATTGAAAGAATCTTGAAAAAATGGTCTCTTTTTTCTATGCTTGAAAAAATGGTCTTCGAATGTTTTCTGTGCAGTTGCTAAGAAGATTTGAACCAATCAACCTGAAATTCCAAAGAGAACAAGACAAATTAAATTAATTGCTAGAGACCGAAGAAACTTATTATTTTGGATACACAGCAGAGACCACAGCAGAGCAACGACATGAGAAGCACATCAAATCCTCAATCCTTTACTGTAACTCACTGCTCCTCAGCTACTATGGTTCTCAGACTAACATTTGCTTGTACCACCCCATCCATTTTTAGCTTCAAAAGCCAATGGAAAGATAAATTGGCAGCACTGTACTCTTAGCTAGGCGTACTCTCCCTTGCATTTCCTGTTGGGAATAACAATTCTCCTTATTTAAGCCATCCATGCTTCAATCATGACTTTGAATCACTGAAGATGTCAGATGTTGAAAGAGTGGTAAATCGTGTGGTAACCTGCTTTACAGATTATCAGCCTTTAGATAACTTACAACTATAAAAATGAATAAAAATCCTAGGTGTATCAAGGTTCAGAGATAGCATGACTCACGAATAGATCATAAAACATAAAAAGCAGTCACATGATTTATATCTACTGATCACCATCACGCTGACGTGATCTAGGAATAATTAACAACAAACAAATCATTGAAATACTGAGATTTTCTGCTGGATGAAACCTTTGGCTACCAGGAAAAAGGGACTAACCTGTATTTGAAAATGTACATTCTGTTGCAGAACTTGTAGAGCAATTAAGCTCAGTAGTCACCGGCTACAACAACAAATGTTAAATTAAGCTTGACCTTCAGCAACAGTTCATCTGCTGATAATGAAATCAGCAAATTGGTACAAACTTAAATATTCTGAAATATAAACATACAGTATAGATAACAAATGTGACCAAGCAAATGAATGTACACTTAATGTCATATAATTTACAATGTAAATTGCAATTTACAATGCATACTACAGTCATTACATTATAAAATAAAAATAGGGCAGTTAGGTGGCTACATTTAGTCTTACATGAAATCTGGACTTTTTTGGGATAAATCACAAGGGACAGTTAAAAGGAACTATGTAGTCCAACAGAGCTATATAAAAATCACTTTATGTTCTTATTTGGAAATATCGTATTGTATATTGTATTAAACACAGTCCCTAATAAAAACGTAATCAAGAAAAAAACCCTCTTTGCGATATGTTCATCAAACTCTTAGTGTCACGCTGTGCTCACACTCAATTCTTCTTAATAAAAGACAACAGCACTACAAAGCTCAGAGGTGTCACACAACCCTGAGTTTTTTTTTTAAGAGTTAGCTCAGCATTTCTTTTGGATTTCTTTCTATCCTGGAAAGATGTGAGGTAAATGTAGCATGGCAGAAAATGGCGCAAGTCCCTGTGTTTCTTCCTCCTGAATAAGCTGATGTCTCCTCTCTCTCCACTAACCTGGCCACAGGAGGTAACCCTTCTGACTGAGGCAGGTTATGAGGGACCAACTGGGACAGCAGACTCAGACCGAGACACCAGAACGTCACTCATTTTTAAGAGCTAGTAAAACACATGGTAGTGTTAAAACTTTAGCAGCAATATAATACTTTCTTAGAGCAACAAAACAAATATTGTCTCCTACATCTCTAATGTAGTATCCACTGGACTGTAGGCACACTCTACAATCAACAGCTCGTTTGAACATAGAGGTTTTCATAGAAAGTGGTAACTCAAGCAGTGTGGGAGGGCACACCTTTATAGGAGCTATAATATCTGAGAATGTGCTTGTGATTCATCATTTCACTGTTAATTAACACGCTGTTACATAAGAGCAAGGACAGACGTGAATAAAAAAAAAAGAAAATCAGAAATAGGATCAAACATTCCTCTCATCTGAAAAAAGACAGACTCCAAGAGGAACGGTAGAGAAATGATTGCCCAACAGGTCCAGATTGTTTTCGGTTTTCTCACTGTAGCTGTGCCACTCTTCTGCACTGTAGATACAGTACTGGAATGAATGGAATTTGCTGAATTTGTAATCCCTCTCACTACATATTATTATCACACAAGCTAAGTATACTTCCATAACTCATTGTGACTGCATGCTCTTAAAAAGAGCTTAAACCTAGAAGGTGTTTATTGTAAGACTTGCCTACATGCATTATTCTTACAAAAGTCAGCTTCCAATTGTATCAACATATTTCAAAATGTCACACTGATGAACATTAATTAGTGTGAAACAGCTGTTCGTGGTTGCAAACTATGACTTTATATGCTTCAGAAATGGCTTTGCTTCTTAAGTGTAGTGATATGGCAAAAACGATGAATATTCAGTGCCATATAACAAAGTAGCTGCATGCTCTTGAAAGGCACTAGGACCTTATCTTGTCAAACCTACTGTATATATATTTATGACATCTGTGCTGAGCCCTATTAGTAGCTGGACTACAGCTAACTCTGTGTTGCTATTGTGGCAGCTTCAGTGCAAACCCATCAGTTCACTGCCAGATTTCTGTGCTAAGAGACGTTGTTGTGGAAAAAACAGCCAGGCTGAATGGAAGCAATCCAGCAACAGAAAAGGGCTTAAAAATAAACTGCAGCTGCACTCGCTGACCCTAGAGGTAATTAACTTCATCTTTGTGTTGTTTTGAAACCACGTACTTCATTTTGAATTTAAGTTTTCTTTTCTCCCACTGCTTTTCATTTGTTTTCATTTAATCATGAAATAGTTACTGATGACTATTTCTGCTTTTTAAAGTACAGTATACGCCTTGGTATATTAAACAGTACAGCACTGTAGATAATAATACACACTTTCTGAAGATATGACACATACACCCTCAGACCAGCCATTTTTCAAAAGCAAAGCAAAAACAAGCACAAAATGATCTTCATGTTTAACATCTCTAAAGTGATGACTAACAGTCACGATGCAGAAACAATGATCATGCGGAACCGATGCTCCTCAGGTTACAGAACAAAACATCTCCGAACGCAGGACTGTGTTTAAAACTAAAACAAGCAGAGAAACACCAAGATGTTCCTGTGCTGTTGACAACATAAACAGAGGCAGCAGCGCAGGTGTGCTAATGTGGTAACCCCTAGCAACGGCTGAAGGACACCTACAGTTTGAGAGCTAAGGGAAAAGAATGCTGTTGAGCCAGCAGCCATCTGACAAGCCAAGGCAAAAGACAGGCCTCATTCCTTAGCAGGAGAAATCCTTCATGAAACCAACACCTCAAAAGATCCCACCGAGAAGATAACCTGAGGCAGTTGTCATACTTTCCCATCCAAATATGTGGTTTCATGGCCAAAACAACCAATGTCAGCCCAGCACTTTGTCTCACCACTGCTTTTCCATAAGATAACCTTCTGGGATCTGGATGTCCTCGCTGTCCCACAACTGGGCCTAACAATCTAAACACCAAACATGGCAGGGCCTAAAATACACTACACACAGCAAAGAGTTCATTCGAAGAGCCTGGAGTATATTGCAGGCCCTGTACAGACATTTTCATTGCAATGTAACATATCAGGAATGAATATCCAGCCCAACATATTTAGAAACAAAACAAAAAAACTTTGGAAATGTCTAATTTGAGTTGGTCTAGTCATTGTTGCCAGGCCCTTTTCAACTGCTGGAGCTGAATTACGTTGAGAGGCTGAAAACAGTCGCAGCAGAACACAGTAGCAGCCCATCTATTTGTGGTGCAGCTGAAGGAAGGATAAAAAAAGGCAGACATTCCACCAACTAGACACCAAAGAGTTGTCTAAAAAGTATAAACCACAAATAGGCACTACTGCGAAAGGAAAGACAAAATATTGAAGAGGACATTGTGTATTCTCTTTTTAACGAAGCTTCATTTCAGTCACATATTTTGTGATTTACAAGAACTATGGTCATGAATTTAAACACTGTCCTGCCAAGTTCTATTCGATTACTGCTTATTTTGTAGAGGATGTGCACACTCTTTACTGGATTCAGTCTTTTTAAAGGGTTAAAAAAGTGCATATTTGCATAGATAAGCACCATTCTTTTCTTAGAGTCTGTGGTTTAGCAGCTGTGAAGTCTGATGTGAGAGCAGAAGAGAGGCAGCCTGTGTAGCTGGTGCATCAATGCAGCCTGTTCTGTGCAGCGTTGTGGTCACTGTGGCCACCAAAGGCTCCAGGAACAGAAACCCTGGCAGAAAGAAAGGACCGTGATTCCAGGTAGCCAGAGCTAGCAGGCAGCACGAATGCTCAGCAACAGGCTGGGTTATTAATAGGAAGGTTATGCAGTACATCAGGTCACATTTTCTTACAAGTAAAGCCTATCAGGCCTCTTAAGAGGATCACAAGCCTTGCCACGCAGGGCAAGACTCTGAAAGACAACAAAGTGCGAATTCGCTGTCCTTAGTCCAATCCATCAAAACCTCCCTATGCAAAAAAATCAGAGACGTGTACCACCGTCTGGCCTCTGAAATCCAAGACGCATCTGAATTTAGTTAAGAAGAAATAAATCTCGGAAGTATGCTTCATGTCCCGCTGCAATACATCACGGAACAATGCCACCAATAAATCACAGACACACTTCAATATGACACAGGTACCTCCTTTTTCATTCCCCAGCAGAAGAATGAAGAATCATCTGCCAGCCTGCACTTCTGAGGGAAGGTGCTTCATATCACAATACCCGCTGGAACAGCCGAAGCTGAAGGGCTGTCTGCAGGATCAGAAGCTGCAGGGCAACTCATCAGCTCCAGGTGCCATTGATTGCAGTCTCTGGGGAAGAGTGGCCCCAGCTCAGGTCCTCCCACTGTTCTCTCTTTCTACTCCGCTCTTGTTGGCTTTGAATTATGCGCCATAATCCCATCTCCAGCACAAAACCGTGTCAGGGCCTGAAGAATTCTCCCAAAGACGAGAAACTGTGAGACCGTTCCCGGGGCATCTTTGAGGTTTTGAGGTGTTGTTGTGTGTGGTCAGCTATCTTCTTCAAATGGGAAAGTTTCTGACATGCATGTTTTGACAAGTTGAAAAATCTCTTTGTCTTACTGTAGACTGATGGTACCCAGAGTGATATATAACTAAATCCACTTGGCGCACAAAAGCAAAGTAGAGAACTGGTGTCTTTTAACTCAAAAACATAATTTCAGCTAAATACAAATGCTTTTCAGCAATTCCTGAAAGACAAGCAATTGATCTCAGAAGGCAGTGGATATTATTGCTGTCACAGAAAACATAAAATAGATTCAAACAGGCCCTTTTATGGTCTAATAAAGAAACCCAACTATTCAGAACAAGGCATACAGTAAATTGAAGCACATCCTTGAAATAATGATTCCAGAAACCAAGAAAAAAAGAGAGCAAAAAAACAAAATGAGCATCCTACAAGGTCATGATCTGATACCAAGGTAACAGAAATAGTCTTGGATTGAACTGGAACAACAGAAAGAGTGATGCACAACACTGACACACAGGGACAGGGAATGTCTAGGGGAAATGAACAAAAAAACTCCCAGAGGCTCACAAACTCCTTGGGTATGAGTAGAATGGTAATGGAATGAAGCACAGTGCCAACCGAAATAAGAAGGGGCGCAAAGCACCGCGACCCCAGTGGGGCCGGAGCAGAATATTGCCCCAGCTGGTCATCTGTGAGCGGCGGGACCCGAGGCTAGGGGCGGGCACTCACCACTGTAAAAGCGGATCATGCAGCTGAGGTCGGAGTGGGCCGCCTCCCTCTGTATCCTCAGCGGGTCGCTGTAGCCCATCGCTGCCAAGTAATCGTAAACAATCTGGAGAGGGCACTCGGCAGGGTCCAGCCTCCTGCCAGGAACAATGAACACGTTACACCCCAGGCCGCACTCCTCACCTGTCCCCATCTCCCACTCACTGAGCACAGGCCACGCCCGCCCGAAACTACCCACCCCGCCTGCGAAAGCTCAGCTGTTTTCTGTTTGTTTCTTCCACACCAGAGTGTTGACTCAAAACAAAGAAAGGAAACCCGCTTTTTTACACAAGCAGATCAACACACTTGGTGCTTAAACCTAGGTTACGTTCTAGTCCTATTTTCAATGTTTTACTTGAAGCTTGCACGGCATTTTCATTACATTTCATATAATGTAATATTTAATCAAATATCTGAAAACATGCAATGGTATTTTTACCAGGCCTGTCTGTTTTATATAACATAAAACCTGTTCCTCAAACCTGTTTGCCACACAAATTTCAATTCAGCTTAGAGCAACAATTTCACCTGAAGTGCTAATGGTCGTTTTGGCAGAATCTACATCTTTGACGTCTAGATGAATTAGAAAACATATTCTTCCAATCCTGTTTTTTTCTAAAAAAACACAATTTCGTTTGACAAAATGTTTAATGGAATATTTCTACTCTAGTCGACTGATACATCCATCCATTCATCAATTTTCTAACGGCTTCATCCAATTCATACAAGAGGGAGATGGCCACAAAGACACTATCCCAGGAAGCAAAGGACACAAGGCAGGACTCACCCTGGATGGGAAGCTAGTGCATCACACTGGCAGAAACACACACTTACACCAGGCCTGATGATTCAAGATGCCAATTAAGGAAACCAGAGCAATGCTGATTTACTCTCATTGTTGAAATTAAATACATGTTGGGATAGTTATTGTATAATGTTATTGCAAGATCCTGCCTTTTTTTGGTCAGTCCCACTCATGTAACTACTTAAGGCCTTGTATCAGATAATTTCCTTCAAACACCCGATCAAAGTCTCTCCTTATCACACTTGGTCCACCCACTTAGAAAATTCACTGCCAGGACCAAACAGGGGCTTGAGAATGCTGCAGTGATGCTCAGTCAGTCCATAGGACTGCATTCATAGTCTGACGTTTAATGCCACATGTGTGTTCTGGTGGCCTCAGTTCCCTGCAGTGAAAGGAAAGCAACTCAATATTTAACAGTAGTCAACCAGAGACGTTGCCATTGAGACCAAAACACAATTTACAAAAGTTGAGCCTCGGGCTAAAACGGTGCTTTGAGGATATTAAAAACCTAAAGTAAATCTTCTAAAAAATAAATGGATCAAACCCACCCTATAACATGGAAAGTAAATTCTGTTATAAATTACTGATTTGTTTTTACAGAAGAAACAGAAATACTCAGGGCCTTTAAAAACGAACTGTACTCGTATAGGATGAGTACACACTGGAAAGGAAGCCAAAAGGGTTCTCCACCGCTTCAATGCTTTAAAACTCTTTGACTGACTTATAATGAGGACAATACTATAGAAATGCAACAAAATTTCAAAATCAGATTGATCCCAGGCTGTGGAAACCCATAGAAAGTGTTGCATTTGTGCTGGTATCTTACATCAGTAGTGTCTCTTTGTAGCTACTTCACAATCTTGCAGACTGCAGTGTGTAATAGCTTAGATCACATCTGTTGGCCTTATGCCAGCCACTAGCGATCACTTTGCCACGGCCCACAAGTACTTAATATGGATAACTGCCAGCACAGGATATCACCATCTCTGCTAGTAGGCCCTTTAAACAAATGCCTTTCTTTTCAGAGCTACATGGGCTGAAATTATCTGTAAATTCAGTAACTGTGCAAATGAATATTCGTAGCTTCCTAATCTTTTTAAGAAGAAAAACAGCCTCTTTTATTCAGCTATAAATTGTTAGGTGGATTTACAGTTGGGAGATTTTTTTGATGACACTGTTTGGTGGAATTCACCTTTGACTGTATTCAATCCAGAAACAGCAGTAGTTTAAATTTCAGTTGTCCAGGAAATACATCTCATAATAAATTGTGGGCATGAATATTGGTAGAATGAGAAATCATAAGACAGTTCTGTTTCTTATAGTTTGGGAATTGGTCAAGAGCTAATTAAGATTTGAGTGCACTGCTGTGCCAGTGTGCAAGCTGGAAAAGAACAAGCAGAATGAATTCCATACCGAAAAGCAGAAAATAGAAAAAAGCACAAACTACTGGCCGAGCCCCCTTGTTCAGGTGTGTGTGCAGCCAAAACATGTTTTTTCTCAAAGGTTTTTCAAAGTTTTTGCTCCTTTGGGGGATCATTAATATTGATACCTATAATTCACTGTAACTACAAGCTCTTAAAATGTGCCCTAACCCAAAAGGGTGTTCTTTCTAGATCTTAATTATACATGTGATTTACTTCCAACTGAATGGGAGAGAGTCATGCTGTTTTGTAAATGACTTAAAAGCCAAACAAATAAAAAACTAGAATGGGGATGGGCAATTGGTTTTGTTTTTTATTTAGCGAGTTTTATGTTACATGTATGGTTCACACCATCAATTTGTATTATGGCTTTTTAGACATTTGTTATGAAAACATGAAGTTCTTGAGATGTTTGCCGTGTATATTTAAAAACTCAGGCCTCTAACAAACAGTGCTGTTTGGAAACTTTAATTTACAAAGTGTTAATCTGCTGGAAGAAATAAACTAATTCTACATCCAAATAAAAACAAAACCAAAAAAACAGTAACATTCCAATGAACTTAAAACTGGTATATTAAATATTTCTGTTTTAATGTCACAAAACAAACATGTTTAATATCCACCATACTTATCAACCTTGGACATATGTTCTTAAAACAGAAATGTCCATCTGCTACAGGGTTTTCTACAGGGGCGTTCTTTTCAGAAACGAAAGTGAAAGAAGAATTCCCTGGCATGTTCCTTCCAACAAGCTGTTTGTGGGGAACAAAACAACCGACTGCTCTTCCTTCAGGAGTGGGTTGGGAGCAAGGCAGAGCAAGACGAGCTCAGGTGGATGGGTGTGAAAAACAGCTGGAAGGGAAGAGCTGTATCTTTGAGCATATGCAGAAATATCGACTCCCCTAGATTAAGCTTTTTTTCCCCCAGTAGAATTCCACTAAAAAAAAATAAATGTGGAAAACCAAAAGTGAGAGTGAATGTGATACCCTTATCCAAGACCAGATTTCAATTGACACTGACACTGTGCACCACCCTCAGAATTCAAAACTGAGGCAGAAGACTATAATGTCAAAATGTCAAAATACAACCTGAGCTATTCTCTTCAGCTCTTCAGATATATATATATATGGACATGTACACCTATATACGCATGTCCTTTTAGAGCTGGCTGGTTGTCAGAATTCCTTGAAGCTACAGATTGCTTTTCTCTCTTCCATTAGAGATAAGTAAACAGTGCTTGTGGGTTTTTTTTTTCAAACTGAAGATGCAAATGCATTTCCTTCTCTTGGTATTTCACACACAGACACACAGATGTGCTCGCTGGGCAACGCCCCCCCGTTAACCCTCCTACTGATATTTTTGGGTGCTTACACATTGCTTGTGAAGAATTCTACCTGCACATTTTTCTACGTTGTTCAATTGCCCCGTGCGCCCTTTGTCCCAATTCTCGTTGGAGACGTGCGCAGCGTGGGACCATGGGCAGGACCCCCGGAGTGCAGCTGTCTTACCTGAGCAGGTCTCCGTGCAGCTGCAGGTACAGAGCCTGGCAGTCCCCCTGAGCGCAGAGCTCCTCCACCGTGGTGCTGGTGGAGCAGAGGACCAGGCGCAGGTCGGGCTGCGAGGCGGAGGAGGAGGAGGAGGAGGAGGGTGTCTGAGGACCCACTGCCCTGTACAGGCACACGCAGCCCCGCCCGGAGTCTCCCTTCAGCCACTCTCGCTCCCGGGACCCGAAGCGACTCTTGCGCGTCACACAGCCCCGGCTCCCGTTGCGCTTCATGTTGCGCTGGTGGAGAGACAGGGAGCCCAAGGGGAAAGCAGCTCATGTCAGGCAGTGGGGAGAGACAGGGGAGTTGCCTGTGCTAGACTGCACCTCAACCGCCATTTGTGTGGTGGCTGAATCAAACAGAGGTAGAGAACGTTGTCTGATCTTTCCTGACTGCAACACATCACTTTGATTCCATGTGAGCTGGGAAGCCAGAGATGGTTCGCACAGGACTGAGAACAGGACTGAGAACAGGAAGCACTCTGTCACAGGCAGGGTGATGGATGCCTGAAGCAGATTACCGAACTGTGCTACTGAAGCTGATTCCACTGGATCTTTCAAGAAGTGGCCAGATGGGAGAGACAGATGAACAAGCTACTACTAACCCAGAAAATGACAAGGGCCAAATGACTTCCTCTTGTTTGCAGCCTTTCTCATTTTGTTACATGACGATACTGTGGAAAATAACATCCAGCCATCTTCGCAACCCTTTATCCCATACAGGGTCACAGAGGAGCTAGAGCCTATTCTGACAGGCAACTGGGGCAAGGTGGACACACCCTGGACAGGACGCCAGTCCATCACAGAGCATGCACAAACACAACCGTGCACACTCTCACACCAGGGTCAAGAGGCCATGGAACCTACCCATGGACTGTGGGAGGAAACTGGTGCACTTGGAGGAAACCCATTAGTACACAGTGAAAACATACAAACTCCACACAGACAGCACCCCAAGAACTGAACCCAGAGCCCCAGGGACGCGAGGCAGCAATGCTAATCACTGCCCCACCCTGCCACCCCAGGAAATAATGTTCGTTGTTGAAACATTCTCATTCATTTATTACTAACATTTACAATGAAACTGGACTAAATGATTTGAGGAAGCAGAAATGTAATTATTTTTTTTACTGTTCGTTCTGTTCAGTGTCTATAAAACAAATTATTGCACACAGAGTTGTTGATTTAAAGAGGTAAATTAACACATGCTGATGTTGTTCATCGGCTCCCAAAGGACTCTAAACCAGTCAAAGCTGTTGCTGCCCCGAACATGTTCTCCTTTCTTCCCTTTTCACTTGTATGCACACTGCTTTCATCTCAATGTTAACATGCACATCCAGCCTGCAAAAATACCTATTTTACTGAACAAACTGGAACTCCAAAGCTAATTAGGAGAATTCCAGCAAAAAGCAGGCATCACAGTGTGCTGCCTCAGTATTCTGGAGGTCCATACCAGAAAAGGTCCTGCTGACAACAAATTTCTAACAATAATTTCTACTACTTATTGGGTTAAAATGAGAAATGGATCTATATTTAAAATGTTAATGAAGGTATGGACTCACGTCCAGAGACAAAATGTATTTTATTTGACACGAAACAATTACTTTTCTTGTTGAAGCATCTAATGCATTACAGGAGCAATTCCTGATATAATTAAAAAAAAACACCTAGTGTTTTTTTATGTGGTGGTCATTCTGATTACAAAGTTCAGATCCAAAGTGTGACTAGTGGTTTCGGAGGCTCATGTGTAAAGGAGGTTTACAATCCAGCAAAACAGTACAAGGTTCACGTCAATGCAAAAACCTTGATTACTCTGCAGTTCAATTTTCTTGCAATGCTTTCAGGTGTAGCCAGGGTAGCTCAAATATTTGTACAAAATAAATGGTACAAACCATAGTGATGTGACTACAATTTGAAAAGTGACTAAAAACTGGGATATGCCAAGAGAGAGAGAGGCATCGAGCCATTAGTTAGATGGATGAAATCCATGTTTCTGAGTCCCTCCTCATTTTGCATGGTCTCAGATTCAGACTGGAGCACACAGACAAACCTGAAAGGATTCAGGGCAATCGCCATCACCATGTAACTCACACTATCAGAGAGCCACCACCCACACAGCAATACAGCATCTCCACCCTGCGAGAAGTATCTGTCCTGACAGAAGGTTTGGATAATCATGTTTCAGGTGTTATCTCATGGGTGATGTTGTGAAGAAGCATGTAACAATTGCTGCCTCATAGCTCTTGTATCCAGCTGGGATGCCTTCTGTGTGGAAACAGTACATCCCCCTGTATTCTCTGGGAGCTCTGCTTTCCTCCCACCTTTTACAGCCATGCTGCCTTGTTTAACCAGTTTATTTAAATAGGCCCTGTAAATGTGAGCGCTCCATAATGAACTGGTGCCCCAGCAAGGGACCTGCCTGTCTTCTTCCCTGTATCTGCTTTATGAGACAAAGAGTCAGATTTTAAAAATGTGAGACTTTGGCCTGAACTTATTTATTTTCAAAATTCACTTGGTTAAGAAGACCAAATGAAAATCGGGGCATTTTCAGATTCCTCTCAAGTTCTCCATCATACATAACTATACAAAACGCTCTGTTAAAACATTAAGCTCATACATGAGAGACCGCCCTGCTTAGAATTCTGGGCTGGAAACAAACGAGTTCCTAAGCCTTTCTGACCTCACTCATAGAAACGAGTGGAAAACTCAGATCACCGTATGCACACTTAGAGATGCTCTTCTAACAAATACATTACTTCCACCAAGGTTTAGAAAGAAAAAAAAAACGCTGCGTCATTTAGCCTAGAAGGGCTCAACCGCCTTCTGTGTGAGAGACAGGCTTCATGTCTTCCTGAGATCATTAACTTTCTAATGGACCCAGACATTTCCTGAAACAGTTCTGCTTCACAGGCAAGCATTGCGGAGTGGTGTTGAAGGCTGCTGCTTAACAGCTCCAGGGTCCTGGGCTGTGAACTTGGGCGTCTGTCTGTGTAGTGGTTGCATGGTCACCCCTACGTCCACATGTGCTTTCTCCCGATGCTGTTTCCTCCCCCCTCTCAGTGGTATGCTAGATTAGTCTGATTGGCTGTTCTAAATTCTCTCTTTTCCTTCACTGTTCTCTGATGGGCAGGTGTCCCATCGAGGAAGAGCGCAGCACTGCACTCTCACTCACAATTTGTGCCCGATGTTATCAGGATAGGCAGCAGGCTGACATGCCTCTCGCCAGGAATAAGAAGCTTTCTAATATAAAGGATAGCTGGATGAATCAACCTGTTTCACAGTTCATAAGCATTTGGATAAGCTGGTGATTGGAAGAGATCTAGGAAGGGAACTGGACTATCACAATCTAGTTGTGTGACACTTTTGTTTCATCAACTACTGCAACAGCTGTCATGTAGGAAACGCTTCTGAAATGTTTCTGAAAATCAAGATCCGTGTCATGTACAAAATCACCAGCTGGAGTCCCTCAGTCATGGGGCAACGCCAGACCTTGATGGCTGGATTCTAGTGGGAGGGATCTCTAAATGTCAGTTCAAGATTGCAAAACATTTAAGAAAAATAACTGAATAACTGACCACCACACACTGCCTGGAATATGGAAATACAGCCTGAGTAGCATTATTCTGGAAATTACAGGCAATGGTCAGATAGGCATATGATGTTTGTACCTTTTTTTTCCCACAGAAATGTCTTACTCCAGAAATTGATCAATAAATCTGGCACAACCCCTAATTAAGAGATTTCAATTAAGCAGCACCACTGTTCCAACATGCAACACATACCAATCTTTAGAGCGAGGGTGGTCTTGCGCTTCTCTTTATCAGATATGCATTGCAAATATGTCCGGTAGTTTGCCATATTTCAGTAATATTAAAGCACTAGCAAAGGACGGCAGTTTCCACCAATCCCTGTGTGCTGTTCTTTAAAATCCGTCTCTGGAGGTACACTTCACACTTATGAAGGTTATACATGTGTACGCAGCCGTATCATATATAATAGCAATGGATATTTTAATTAACCCGGATGCGGAGCTTATGTATTTATTTATATCAATTCGAACAGAATACTGCAATCACAGCAGTCATTTGAAGAGAGCATCCTGATTTACAAAGCATTAAAGTCTTCAGGACTAACATGATAAGAAGCATTGAAAAAATGATGAATAATATTCGTACAGCCCACATTCAAACATACGTAGAAAGTAAGCACGCATATCTTTAATAGAGTGGTGCTTGAGACATCTAATGAGTTAATTATGACATAATGGCGGAAGTACAGGAACATCCATAAGGGAAACAGTTAACTAGTACTGCTCGTGTATCGAATGAACTAAGGTCTCGGGGTATATTGGTTACATACAGGAAAATAATGTCAATGATTTTTTAAAAAAACAACGTCTGAAAAAGGCACACCGCTATTATCACAAATAAAAAATCACTTTGTTTCAAAACACTTGCTAACTATGCATACTAAAATATTCATGATATAATGACTAGATTTGTTTAGGGCATTACCGGAACTTAAGACCCGTGTAACTCTTATGGGTCAATACATTAATTGCTAACGTGCTTACTTCTTTCCTAAAATAATTGTTAAGAGATTAATACGGGTAAATGACTAAAACACGTTAAATAATTTAAAATAGATCTAACAGGTTACATCATGACAGCAACAGTAATGAATAACTCTACGCTTCGGTATGACACTATGCAGATCCCCGGTAGAGACTAACAAAATATACCTACCGATGCAGTTGGGAATATAAATTAAAAGAACGATTCAAGAGCACACGCACTAAGATAAACGGCAAACAAAATGCACATAAAATTAATCACCGTACTTAGTATTACTAGCTATGAAAGTAGAAGAGCTGTTAACAGTATCAGACGTAATAACGGCCCTTGTCTTTTCAAATGTGGGCAGGGTTGTGTCTGTTCTGAAATTTAGATACTGAGCATGATTGAGACATGTACCTTCAAAACCCGTATTCCAGTTACACGGGAGCCCGGTCCGACGAGGTCTCCGCGACCCGCAGCCTGGTTTGATCCCGGTTCGCAAGGCTCCGGAGCTGGCGGAGCAACAGTACAAGAGCCGCTATCTTCGCCGCCACCTCGATCGTTTCGGTCCGGTTCCGTGCCCGGTACCGCCCCCGCTGGACTTTCGTCTTCCTCCATTTACATTGAAATACGTTACAGATGAAGGCGGAAAAAAAATGTCCAGTTCACAACTGGCAAATTCCAATGCACGGGGCAGCAGAGGAAAAAATCCCATTCAGCTCTGCTAAGACGCCATAACGAGACTGTAACATCACGGACTGTCAGACAGATCTAATCAATATACATTAGAAAGGCAGGGCCAGAGTTATTATTCATAGAAAACTGCCCATACAGAGGAGGAAAGCGCTGAATTATTCATCAGGGTACGTTCGCTATCATTAAGACAGACGCCTCACTCGAACCGAGATTATTTTAAATATTTGTACACTTTCTTAACTATTCACGATAAGAGACTTTTCTAGGTTATTCATTCCTCATCTTTGGTTTACCTGTAACGTCCAGGCCATTCCCAGATCCAGACCGCTGGAAGAATCTAAAGATCCTCCCCATCCACAAATATTCACCTGATAGGGAAAGTGGACACCTTGTTTCATGAACAGATAATATGGACTCTTCCGAACGAACGTTATATTCTCATTATTAACGTTAACAATCTCATTTTAAAGCTCTGAAAATCAAACATGTTAATGGAGATATAAACCTATATACTCAATTAAATCCTTTGCTCAAAGAAATCATTTCAGCCGAGGCTAATAATGTGCCAGTCATATTTTGCAGTGATACATTTTAACCTAGCATCAGCATGTATGACATGGACTGGGGCATTTACAACACGACGCATTTTTTATACTGCAGGAGAAGGCTGCCAAGTTTTTCTTATGGCAAGGAATCCTAACAGCAGGTTGCAAAAGCAAACAACTGGAGAATTGCAGCTTTGTGGGATTCTTCGTCAATAACGTCAGCTTTGCTCATTAGCTTCAGCGAAGCGGTTTACAGCTCTGGCGATATTGACACATTTGTAGCGAATCGCGGAATGACACCCTTCAAAGGTAAAGTTATCCTCTGCGTATGGAGTGTGGCTAGAAATCCTTCTCAATAAATGTCAATACCTGCCAATACAAGGCTGGGAACACAGAAAAGGACACCAGGCAAGAAGGAACTGGCAATAAACCACAATCTTGAAGTAAAGGGTGACCTGACAATGCAAAAATCAGGTCAGCCTTTCCTCCGTCCAAGTGAGGACAGTGTCAACAACCTGCAGATTATAAGCATTCTGGTATTCTGTGTGTACAAAACTGTCTATTTCCTCGTCTTCCAGGAAAATCGTATGACAATCTAGTCCCATGGATTACTAAATCAGATGTTAGTATTGTTTTTTTCCTAGAGAGAGTGTTAATACATAAAGATACGTTTTTTTAGAGATTTGATCCTCAATGTTTAGTCAACTTGAATTAACTACTTGGAAAAAAAAGCTTTTAAACTGTAAAATAAAAGGCTCATCTGCTGTTGATTTATTACCCTCCAAAACAGCTTTGAGAATAAACCATCATCAGTAAAGCATTTTATTAAACTCTAAAATTTAAAGTTTAAGGTTGATTAGTTTCTTTAATTAGCTTCCACTCTCTATTAGCTTAATAATTACTATTCACTTGCATAGCAGATGTCCCTATCCAGGGCAATCTCACAGCTATCAATCCACAAAGCTGTATAAACAAGACAGCTCTCTCTCACATCACTTGAGAAGCCAGCACTATGGCACTCTGTAAATCATTTACCTAAGTTACCACCCTCACTCTGAAGTTTGTTTGCCAGTTTTGTCAGTCTCTTACCACTAATCAATCTTGACAAACGTCCATACATTGCATGTCCCCTGTGTGACAGGAATGAACTTTGTTCCGAATTTCAACAGGTTGTATTCTTCGTGATCTTGCTTTTTCGCTTCCAGAATTCCCGTTTCACCCTAAAAGGCGCAGACGGAAATGTGGAGTGTTGTCCGTGTTGACATGCAGTGCGGACAGAGAGTAAATCCGAAATGGCGTCTCCCTTTGTTTTGCTCCATGATGGAAATCTTTGTGCAACAACCAACAGCATATGCCTGTGCCTTTACCTTCAGTGATCTGCTTGCTCAGCAGTACTGAAACACAACCACAGCTCAGCTCAGTTCTGAACTGCATTCAAGGAAACGATGAAATCGTGCCGTTCCCATTCTGCCATTTATATTAGAAATATGTTATAGGACATGAAAAAGAGAAGGAACCAAGACAGCATGGACAAAGCGCTTTCAAGGGACCTCCGACGTGCAAAACAAATGTAGACGCACAGAGTGCCAAGGCTTTCAAGAAAATCTAAACTGCAAGAGGTCAAACAAAAGGCTTTGTGGACCCACCGAGAATGTCAAAAAAAGCCAATTTATGATGTTGATGGGTATACAGTAATCATGTTTGTAACCTGATTGTGGCTCGAGAACAGCCTGCTGTCGCACTCCGAACAATGGAATTAGTGACTGTGGTGTCTCGCATGCAGCTTACTGAAGATTATGGATTTTTCTGTAAAGATTTTTAAAAGATTTCAGGTCACTAGCTCTTAAATAATTTGTCCCATTTATACAAAGAATTGTTCTGACAAACACTTTCATGTAACGAAACGCAATGAACATAAAAACCTCCCAATATTTTTCCACAACAGTCAACAAACTACTCCTACTAGTCCCAGATAAATAAATACAAAACACTGGCTTTCTATGGACGTTTTTTGAATTTTTATTAGTCACTGATCATAATTTTTCCAACCCAAAGACAGTAATACACAGCAGAATTCTAAAATGTCCCATGAAATTGTTTACAGCCTTATAATTTCAGCCTTGCATTCCCTTCCAGGTTTCAGGACAATGGACTCAAACTCAACAATCCTTTCTTACCAATCAGATTTTATGTGGTACTTTACCAGAGATTCATAAAGGGGAACTTCATACGAAGACTCGCCAACTAAATGACTTTATTTCTATGAGAAGAAAAGGGAAGGAAACTGGATTCCTGACTCCCTCCTCCTTTCCCACACAAGCACAACATGTGTATCAACCAACATAATAGTGAAAAACAATCACATCAAATGGAATGGTGTGAATGCTCACTTTCATTTTATCCCCAAAGCTATGACTTTTTTTTTAAATGACAGATATTTAAACTTTTTTTTAATTTTCCATGTTCAGCAAAGAGGTATGTTGAACATTTTCTTTGCATTTTAAAAAGATACATCAAGAGTAGAAATGAGAGTATTTACACTGTTTTGCACATGCAGCTCTGAAGCTGAAGATTGCAACCACTGCGACCGATGTGTCTTACCTTGTATGGAGTGAAGTAAGACAACCATGTATAGGCAAACATATATCAACAATTTATATTAGTGGATTTAAAAAGGTCCATTTGCTGTTCATACACTTCCCAGGGATTTGTTTCAATTCCGCAGTGCCCTAATCTGCCAGTTCTTTCAACACTTAAAAGCATACAATGTTCTTACAGGCGAATTTAAGAATTTAAACGATGGGGTAACACTGCACCCTTTAAACTAAAAATACACTGGTGAATATAAAATAAAAAACACTGGACACAATGAGAAACAGTCCAATTTTGTTCTTTGCTGCAACTCCCCAGTGTCTAACAGCACTCCCATGTGGTCAAGTGCTGCCAGTACAGAAAATGTGAATATTCTACTACAGCTTTTGTGTTATAAAATGGAAAGAAAAGTTACTGTTTTTCTAAAGGACGGCTGCACAGCAGAATGTGATTAAAAAAAGAAATGCTAGATAATAACAAAGACTACAAATGACAAACTGCCAGGACATAGAGCAAAGAGACCCCAATTGGCATCAGAAAGCACAAGAGTAGCAAGCCCCTTGCCACAGCCGCAGCCTGCTATTCAGGTCCATCAATCCTTAAGTTTTGATAAACACGTCTGTTTTTAACACTCTAGTTTTGAACTTGAAGCCTTTAGTTGTATGCACAGGTGTGTCAAAACTGACCATCCAAAGCCGATCTGACTTAATTTCCAACTACAGTAAATGTAAAAAAACTACTTTCCACCATACCTCTTGTATTATCTGTTGACTCAAGCAGGTAAGGGAAGTGGGCAGCCTTCAGACTTTTCTTTTCTGTAAATGTGACCATTTCTCTTTCACGTACAATCATAACAGAATCAGATGCAATGGCAAAAAAAGAACAAGGTGAGAGGGAATAGAAGACCATCCCAGCTACATACGTATCATAGCAGTGCAAGACAGAACATCTAGTTAGGCTTGATGTACATCATCTACATGAAGCAATGGAAGGCCACATTTAGGCTGTCTTTAAACCAGCCACTGGGTTTGATTGTATCAAGTGAAGAAGCAATAAGATATAGCTCAATCCAGAAGAAAGCTTATTGCATTTTGGCAAGGGGCCCACTCCCATTGAAGAGGATATAAACAGATTAAGAAGTTCATCAAAACAAATACATTGTTGTTTCTGGTGTTATTGTACAGTGTTACTCAGTAGTATATTTTTTGGACTTTTACCTCAAAAATCCCACAAAATCTCATCCAGCAGCAAACAGAAACATCTTTATCAAATTACATATCTTTGAAAAGAAATGGCTAAGTAACTGTTTTAATTTTAGCCAGATAAAAATTTACAAACATCTAAAATGACTAATTTGTTGAAAGATTTCAGTCTGTCCTTAAAAAAGGAAAAATAAGGTTTATCCATTACATAACCCCAAACTGAACAAAGTCTTCAAAAATTCAATGAAAAGGAGTAAATTAGTAACTATCCTTCTAAGGTTTATTAAATATCTGTATATAATTAATTTCTTCCTAGCTATTCATAAGTGGGTCTTGAATTGGATATTTTAGCATTTTTACAATTATATACAATATACAGGCAGCAGATGCTATATTGTTTTGTAATGTACATGAAAACAGGGAAAGCCAAACAATTTGACTATTACGTAAATAACTAGATTTATTTTAGTCCATTTCAAACAATACACTACACGTGTATGTTGACAGAATAAAACTGATCTTTAGAAAACTGATCTGAAAAGGGGTGGTGGGCAATTGAGGTGATCAATATATACAGAAAAGCCTTGATTGCATTAAGTTGTTCAGTCTAAAAATAATCCCTAAAAGCACGTCATACATCTCTTGTTCCATATACACATGGCATTGCTACAGAAGATTTTATTTTCAAAAGCTAGATCTTATTTGATTTGGTCACGAAAAGTTAGCAGTTAATATAGAACAATAATGCAAAAGCAAAATATTTCTACACAATAAATCAATGCTGGTAGCTTCACAAACAGTGTAACAGAAAAACTCAGTAGCACAATCAATAGTATTCAACTTATGTAAATGAATGCCCCCCGACATCCCAAAAGTTGTTTCATGGTCCTGTTATGCTCGTCATAATCAAGGTATGCCTTACAATTCTTAAACAGAAGCCCCAAAAAAACATGTGAGGTATTTAGTTGATGATGTTTGTTTGCAAGAGCTAAGAAAACACATTGCAATTTGGAGCACTACATGTACCTTGGAACCTAATGTACCAAAAAGGGACAACATATCCACCATTTAAAATCAGGTTTCACTTTCAGTCATAAAAGTCAGCTTTTTTAAAAAAATCACTTTTAACCGGTAAATATTGAATTTATCTCCTACTGTGAGTTGATAAATCCTTCAACTTCCCAGCATTGTTCCTAAGCTAACTAAACTGATAGGAGTTACCTCAAAATCTGTACTCAACAGCAATTACTTAAGTTATCTTTTCAGTCCCTCAAAGGCAGAAATTTTAGACATGTACATATAACCAAGGTATTACATATCTAGATTTACGGAAAGCAGGGAAAGATTGGTCAAATCTTTGATATAAAAAGGCACATTGCTTTGATATCAGGCATTATTTGCAGGACATGTCTTGTCCTCAGTGACGTTTGACAAGACGAAACAAAAGTTCTCAAACAACTATGCTATTGGAAGGGTACATGAAAAAGTGCTGAAACAAAAGGCTTCCTTTTAGAAAATTTTAAAATCACAAGCCACAATGACAAAAAGTAAACACATAAAAACAGAAGAAACAGTACTACGTGCATAGCATTACATTCAAAATTATTTCCCATCTATATGTACAAACATTAAGTCAATGGCTATGCGAATACAGAAAAAATTAAGACTTTCTGGATGAAGACAAAAACAAACCTTAGTCGTTGCTGTTAAACTGCATACTGGTGTATTTGTGAACATACTTATTAACATGAGTCAGGAGAATCTTGATCTTCCATTCTGTTTTAGAATAGAATGGAAGATAAAGATTCATTATGAGGCCCAATGTACATTCTGCAAAGAAAAACAATTGAACATAAAAAAGCCTTTAAGATCACTGCAATGAACAGTAAAAGCACCTTTAAACCGCTCAAACCTTAGCAATAACTTTACTGCCTTGCTCCTCCCCTCTATCAACTAAAAATACATAACGTGGCAAATCACTGGGCAAAGCAGTCAAGCTTTTCATGTGTAATCTGAGAAAGTCTTATCCTTCAAAGAAAAAATTAACTTTGGAAAAAAAAATATTTTTCATTATTAGTCATAGAAAACCAAAGGGAAGCAAAATGTGATGTTAAATAGGGTTTATAAGGTGGAAAATTGCGTTAATGGGGATGTGGCTTTTTAAAATATATCTTACCAATGTATCATTCTTGTGAATTATGAGTATTTAAAAAATGATCTGACTGATTGGATAAAGTGATTGCAATACCTTAATCATGATAACCCACTGCATTACACACAATCGTGTCACAAAAACATTAGGTTTGCTTCTTGCAATGCATGACGGAAAGAACAAAAAAATGTTACAATTTGATAACTGCTTCTCTCATATTTCATTTTTTTGGCTCCCTCTTAAATCTGCTTCTGGTTATCCTACAGGCTTTCCCACCCTGTTTTACCCAACAAAAACTGATGTAACATTCACATTCCTCCTTCCTTAAGATTTAAATACCACAATAGCTCAAATGATGATACTCTTCCAACAAACAGCTCTTGAACCTCAAAGACATCCCTAAAAAATCTTCATCCTGAAAATACTTTAGACTGGCAACCTCAAGACAAGCTTCACAGTCAGTCAGCAAAATTAACAGAAGAACAATTTAGTTGTTGGATTCTAGAGCAATCAGACTTAATATGAAACACCAAGTATTGGGACCATATAGCTGGTAACCTTTATTATAGAAAATAAGTTAATTTGTTTAGACACCAAACTGGAAAATGATGAAATATCACTACACTCCATATATTTATTTTTTGGAGCCCAATCATACATTGTACTTTCTTAATTCTGTATGGTGCACAGATAACAGAGCTGATTAAAGTGCAAACTTCTTATACTTTAAGTTGCATTTCATGTAGAGCTGTAAAAAATGCAAAACAAATGAATGTTTCAAAATATCCCCAACAGCTTACAATTACAGATTCAGATAAAAACATAAAAATTAACCTGGACAACTGCTCACATTGAAAAACACCTTCCACCTATGGTGCACCTTTAAGAGGAGTGAATTTTCCAAAAGGGCAAAAAGGAGGCAGAGCTGAAACCCAAGGGGAAGTACCAGAAGAAGAGTTTTGTGTGCGTGTGAACAGAAAGGCAATGGAAGTAGTGGCTATTGCAAGCAGACATCGTCAGAGACTGAGGTGAAACCAATTTAAAAGTTAGTAATGGATATGTTTTCAGACATTTTCGTCGCTATCATCATCAGCATTTTGTGTCCAAAAGATTCCATTGGTTCCCTGCGCAACCCCAGGGTAGCAGTCTGCAGTGATGTTACGAGGGATCAGTTGGGGAAGCTTCCCAGAATTCCCCTGGAAGGGCCTAAAGAGCAGAGAGGCGTGTCATCACTGCCAAGTCTGGGGGGGGAAGTTGTTGACCTCTGCCAGGTCTTGGACAGAAGACCCTTTATGGGTGTAAGTCAGCTTGATCCTCATTCGCAGTTGTTGCTGTGAAATCAAAAAGAAAAGCCCAGGTTTTTTTAATCAGCCACTTCCAAAAATTAGAGCTCAAGAGAATTGTCATCGTCTCCCAAAACCACTGAGAATAAACTTGTACTGCTTCAGTTACATCTGAACATTGATTGTGATTGTTAACAAACATTTACATAGTTAAAGGTAAAAGCAAGAAAAGATACCCATGTAAATTACCTGACAAGAACATTTCTAAAATTATTCTGCAAGTCCTCGGATACTTGGAAAAGGCAACTGCCGTGTTCAAGCCATTCTGGAATGACTCAGCTTTTGTTAAAAAAATATTACTAAAACTCATAAAATTTACATTATACATCATTCAATGGTGTAGTAGGTAAGGGTCACACGCATATGTAATCATGATTGCACTGTGAACAATCATAACATTAAAGAGTTACAGCCACTGGCTGACTGAACTGCATCACCAGGCCTTTAGAAAAAATTCTGTGGTTACTGGCAAGATAAGTTACCTTCTGTGGATTGAGTACTTTGATGACCTGTGTGACTGTTCCTGTGTTCAGTGGAGGGACTATATTACTGCTAGGAGAGAGGAGCTGCAGCTGGAACGTCTAACAAACAGAAGTGTCGTTAATATCTTCAAGCACATTTTAAACACGCTTCAAGAGTCCAAAAACCACATTTAACAAACTCAAATACAATTTAGTAGACAAAATATACAGAAACTATCCATCACATATTGTATACAAATCAATCACACACAACATCAGTGCACACTGCATTAATAAAAACATAAAAAACATACCTTTGGTACTGCAGCCTGAAATACAAAATCTGTCATGTCTGCCTCAGTGGAGTTGGAGGCGTGTATAGTAATAACTGCTATATTTGGATTTGTGTTGGACCTTTCAAATGTGAATTCTATCTTCAGCCCATTTTTATTGTATGCTGTCATGGGAGGAATACCTACGCAGAAAAGAAATTCTTTAAATAAAATGCACCAAGACTTGAAAAAAGAACATCAATTTAATATCAAACCTCAACTACAGTATAGTGCTTTCTGTTTTGATGCAAAAAAAAATTTAAATTACTAAGGTGTTATCAAAACACCCACACCTGCAAAAAAATAACTCCCACTGGACACTTTACATTGATGTTGACAGATGACAGTTCTATTCGGTCTTTCACTGATATTACTTTAATGGCAGTGCAGCTATTCAACAACTGGCATACTTGTTCAAAGGCATACTTCTGAGACAGAACCTAGGCATTACTGTTAATCTTACAAGATGTATTCCAGATTTTCAATATTTAAGGCTTCAATATTTATTTAATTCCCTGGGTGGTCAGTACGGTTCATAGTTCTTATAAGTGCCACATTCAAACATAGGCCTTCACTTTTCTGTCTATAGTTCCATCTTTACAGACAACTTTAAAATAAGAACATTTATGCAAACGCAACTGTGTGAAAGCAGCATGTATACATGTGTAGCTTTCCAAATAATACAGTAAGGTTAGCCTGCTGGAGGATATTCTCACCTGCAGCAATGTCATTAAAAAGTGGTTGTGATGATAGCCCATCCAGTAAGAAGGGAGGCTGGGACATGGAGATGGGAGGGACAGGTGCAGGGGCTGGACCACCTTGTTTGAGGAAGGGAAAGGATTTAAGGAAAAAAGTGTAAAATGCATGCATGAAACAATTCCTGAAGTCTTTCCACTTATCTATACATAAGAGGACAGACTCTTGAATAACCTTAAATACAGTAACCTGTATCAAATGGATCTTTCTTCAGAAAACCGTTACTCTACTCTAAACTGATGGAGAATAGACCTTTAGATGATCAAATTATTTTGATTTTTTTTATAACGCTTTCAAGAAGATGCAAACATTGTCACTTGCATAACTCTTCTATTTCATTTCTTAAATTGACATAAATGAGGTCAAGTATAATAAGGACCAGAACGGATCAATTGCTCTAAATTCCTTAACTGGAGGGCGTTTCATCCTAAACCATTTTTAAACCACTTAAAGCTAACCAGATGCTCCCATGAAGTTCAAAATCGAAGTCACCCAAAAAAGGTAATGCTAAAGGACTTTAGGTCTCCAAATTATTTCACCATTGGAATTACTACCTACAAAAGAAGCAGGTCCTTGCAACACATCCAAAGAAAAATCTACACACCAGGTAATTAAGAGAATGCTATGTGCAGGTAGTGGATCAAAAAAAGGAAACACCAATGTACAGTCAACAAAGAGAACACTGGGCCACCACATGTAGCCAGTACAGTATGTGTCATGGCATAAGGACTGCTAGGGTCTGGAATTGTGCAAGAGGGATGAAGCCCCGTTCTTCAATTAAAGAGTCAATCTGCTCACACCTGGTTAATGGGGGTGGGATATGCTGTCTCAGGCATTGATCCAGAATATCACATAAATGCTCAATTGGGTTCAGATCGGATTACTGAGAGGCTAACTTCAATCGGCATGTTGATAAAACCAATGGGCGACCACATAAGCTCTACAGATGAAGGCATTATCATCTTGGAAGACACCCCCCCCCCCAGCAGGAAAAAAAACGCTGCAACATGGGTTAAAGATGATCGTACAGTACCATTAAACAGCAATTAGCCTTCTAACCTTTGACCTTGGCTTCTAACAGAATGAATTAACCCAAGCCACGGCATGCAAATGCACCCCACAACAGTATAGAAAGTCTGTAGAGTTCTGTAAACTGGCACCACATGTGCCCTCATGTATTTAGTACAAAACAGGATAGAGGACAATTCATCTCACCAGATCATATTTCTAAACAGCTCAGCAGGCCTGTGCTCAAGTCCCCTGTACTACCTGTACTGACAGAGCAGTCCGTGCACCACAGCTTCACTGTGGTATTCCACTCAATTTGAATTGGCCAATTGTGCCCAAGGACAAAGTTTACAGTTAATCTATAGCTGCTACCCTGTTTTGCCTTACACTTTAAAATCATGTAGAGATATCACAATCCTGGATATCACAGCCTCTGTTAGTTTTTGCTAATGATGATATCTGAGTTTCAAACTAACATCAATTTGGACACTGTTGTTTGCGGAAAGATCAGCAAGTTGGTCTCTGAAGCTTCAACAAACACCTCTTTTAAACTGACATCTCCTCTTACTGCTATGCTAACCATAACTACAGGCCACTACTTCAGCATTTCTATACATGACCCATAACATGCTTGGATGGTTTTGTTTTTGCTTAATCAATGCATGAGCCACGCCTATGTAGAACAACCTGCATTCAATATACGTAGTGTCCCTTCATTTACCCATGTACATCCATATTTTTGGCAACTACCTGTATCTGCCATCTTAAATCCCAATGCCTGGAAAAGGTGCAATGTGCAATGATAAAGATACTGGCTAGACTCCTTGTCAGACCCCACCAAACATTCAGCTCCAACCATTGGCTATTCAACCATTGGCTAACCAGTAAGATCAAGGTGTCTTGATGGCTTTTATATCCTTATAATAATAATAATAATGTTTCTTAATTAGCCCTATACAATTTCTCGCATTAGGAATTAGTCTTTTCGCATACCCCAGCTTTTTTCTCCATGGAGACACAGACACACAGACAGGGAGAGAAGCTTGGGGTCAGAGCGCAGGGTCTGTCATTGTACGGTGCCCCTGGGGCAGTTAGGGTTAAGGGCCTTGCTCAGGGGCCCAACGGAATAGGATTCCTCTGCCGGCCACGGGATTTGAACCAACCTTCCAGTCACAGGCGCAGATCCTTAGCCACAGAGCCACCGCTCCTTCCCAGCACATAAGCTGCTGTCCTTATTTTAAGTGGTCAAGGACAACTAAACACCAGACAAAATAATGACAAGGTCCAGAGAGGCAATTCAACCTACCTGATAGAGAGAGATCACCCAAAAGATCCAGTAATTCACCACCAGCTGAGGCAGGCTTTGGGGGTGGAACAGTCTGGATCACAGGCACTACGTCACTCCCTCCAAGGAGGTCCAATAAATCATTAGCCTAAAAAATTGAAAAATAAATTATATGATCACACTGCTAGTGTTTTTAAAACCTTTATAGATTAAACTCTTTAAAAACGCCTATCACGTTTACATACCTTTATCAGCATTTGTTCATAGGAACTTAATATTATAATAAATTAAAAACCGCATTTGTAAAACTAGATTGCAACAAAGTAATTCTGTTGCCCAAATAACTGAAAGCACCAGAATAATAAAAAACATTTTCTTGCCAGCAGGGGTCATAATTACACCAGAAAATGAAGCATCTGATGCAGCACATACATTTCAAATCCAATTTTACATTCAAGCAGCTCTACAGAAGACAACTTAGTCCAAGCAATTTTGATTAACCGATTCTGATGGGTTTCAGTTAAAAATACAAAGGCAAATTCAGGAAAAACTACATGGGAATACATCATCTAAACCTCCATAGGATGCACTACCTACAAAAGTAAATACTACCCATTCTGTGCAAATGTTCGTTACTTTATGTTAAATGTTCTCTCAATTCAATTAAATTTAAATACTGGGTGCTTCATTTAAGGAGATTAACAGAGGCTAACCTTTTCTGTTCCTACCTGGCTGCTTGACTGTGTGACGCTAGTTGTGTGCTTCAGGTCTAGTACAGAAGGCTCTGCCTCTCCGTTTGTCTGCAAAATCTCTGTTGGGCCATTGGTTGCTGTCTTCTCCATAATGGGCATGCGTTCCAGTAAGGCCGACCTGCATGGGGGGAAAAAAAACACCCATTATTTTATGGGCTTACCACCAGATTGCAACTGTTGGGTGAAGCTGTTACAAACTGCTTTACAGTCCTTTTTCAGTCAGACCCACCTCATGTGATCATATTTCTTGAAAAGTGCATTATATTCTACTGCCCGTTGTTGCAGCTCCACATCTATGCTGCTTCCATATATTGACACAACTTTCTTGATTCGGCTGAAAAACAGGACAAACCAATATTAGAACATCTGTTAGAGGACCATACTCAGTCCAGGGGTATAACTATCCCAACATTTTCATGAGGTGGAAGAGCACAGCTCGTTATAACAGATGTAGGCTAATAAAAAATTTTAAAAAAATAGTTTAATTCATTTATTTTCTCAAATGCCCTGGACATTCTAAGGCAGCTTTTCTTGTAATGTCACAGTAAACTATACATTATTATAATACAGTTTAAAGCTTTAAAGATTTATTAACCAACAAGGTGCGACTGTCTGTAATTTACTATTAAAATATATTAAGTATACTTTATATAAGGACAAATTATAATGATTCTGTAAGAAATAAAAACAAAATACAATAGATTGGTGTATTTACTTCACACTGCTGGTGAACCTAGTAGATAGCTTCATGATGGCAGTGAGAGAATAACCTCTGGTCACAGGTGCCGACAAATTAGATACCAAGAGACCTTCTAAAACATCAAGAACTTCGTCTTCCGTAACCTAGAGGAGAAACGGAGGTGTGAACAGTATACTACATAAAATGATGGGTGAGGTTGGTCTTTTCCAGTTTTATTCTGCTTTAAAAATACGTCTTAAGCATGCAAATTATGCAAAATAAGTTGTGTGTAAAGTGTTTTAACACAATTCTTACTTGAATGGGTTCCTCTTCTTCACACTGTCCTGAAACAAGCAGATCTCCATATTCCCCTATACACCAGGAGGCCACTTGCACAAGAGGTTGCTGGATAATAAATAAATCAGAAAACTTCAGTACAGCTCTTCTAATTTTGTAACCTTTCTCTTTATATACACTCGTAGCTCACCTGTGAAATGTCTTCCAACAGTGCTTTGTAAAGCCTCTGCACGGTGTAGGCATGCATCTCCACACTATTTGTGATGAGCTGAATCAAGTTAGGCACTGCATCATCCCTTACATAGCTTCCAGCCTAAATATTAGAGAAGTCAATATTTCACTTCATGTCCAAGATGTTTAAAACAAATGCACACAATGCACAATGAACATTCAAGTTGCAAATTAACCTATTGAAACTGATAATTTGGAAGGTTCTAATTCTTAATCTCTTGACTCAAATGCTGTTGTCAGTGCTTAATGAGTCAACATCTATACTCAGTCGATGGATCACTCAAAGCTTTCATCACTCAACAGCAAATCAATCAACTAATCCTGCAATGCTAAAGCTGTCCAATAAAAACAGCAGCACTTTATCACCGTTTTTTAATCAGCTTATCAATCTTTAAAATGACACTGCCATTTTGTTTTTTTTTCTTTAAATTAAATTTTTAAACTATGCAGGAGCACTAATGATATCACTAGTCAATATATGAAACACACAAAACTCATACCGTAGTAAGAACTCTCATAATAGTGTCAATGTGCCATCTTTTTGAGGGTGCATACCTGAAAAAAAAAAAGGATTAACCAGATCCACTCATATTAAGCTTCCTTTATTTCAGAAAAAAGAGCAAACTTTCAAAAAGAACTTTCTAACTGCATAAGAACCGTGACAAATGACAGGAACCTTATTTGGTTCAGGTATTCTGATCCAGGAACCTCATCCAGCTGTTTTGAGAAAAAGCAGGATATCAGTTTCAATCACATGTGTAGGGCTGTGCAGCATGTTCAATACTCCCACTACCCCCTGGGAACAGAAATGCCACCTGGCCTGATTTAGACATACTTCCAAAAAAGCTCCCAAGTGATCTCACATTCCTATTTCAGTGCTCATTTCATGTTTCCTTTCATTCTGAAGAAGTACACTTTGTAGACTTACTATTAATCTACAGTACGGATTTACTATTAACCAATTCTCAAACCAAACAATTATTTCCTTACTGCACGTAATTTGTAAATCTTTTATGAAGAACTTTATCAAAAGCCTTTCAAAAAAACAAATCAGATGCTTTACGTGCGTCAAATAGCGTTGTTGCTTTTTCAAAAGAACTCGAACAAGTTAGTTAACTAATCTAAACTATTTCCAATTATGTTATTTACATATAGGTGCCCCTCTAGTTTTGTTCTAATAATACTTTACATAACCTTTCATGTAATAAAAATGAAATGTCTGGGTGTGTTCAGCTTTATTACCATTACTGGGATTGGCAGCAATTCTCCAGTCCATGGGCACCCCTGCCTTTAGCAACTATTGAATGAATCAGTAGCTTACAGATAATATTTGTTTACCTGATTACAGCTGGTAAGATACCATCAGGCCCAGGGCTTTATTAATCTAAAGTGTTTCTAGTACCCAGGACACTTCCTCCTCTTTAATACTAAAACTTTGTCTTTCTGCTGCCTGAGGCATTTTCCTTTCTTCTTCCTTAGTGAACCCCTGAGTGAAATCTTCCTTTGTTACACCTGCCATTCCCTTTCTTTGTCCAGACATTTCCCATTGTTGTCCCGCATATCTTTTACTGTATCCTTAACGGTTCTTTGGATGTTATAGTACCAAGATAACTTATATTAGCTTCCACTGCAATATCCCACTCAATTTCTTTTCTTGTCTAACATCCTTTTTTTACCTGTTGTTGCAAATCATTGTACTCTTTTTATTTACCTGTTTATTCTATTGTTTTTTTTTAAAAACATTTTATAAAGCTCTTTCTTTTCCCCATTGACTTGTTGAACCATATGGGTGACTGTCTTTAAGATGCAAATGTATCACTTATCTTTCTACTAACCTGTAAATAAAAACACTTACTTCTCTGCAGCAAGAAAAATTCCTGAAGCACAGTCTGCTTTGAATTCTGGATCACAAGAGTCCAGGAAGTACAGCAATTCCTTCATCATTCCACGAATGTTGTTCCCGTTAACCAGAGCAAAACTGAGCTCCATTGCACGTCTGTTTAAAGTTACAGATACAATTTTAATTCCAATTTCTCACATTTTGAATCCTTAAATTGACGATATACAATAATATTTGAAGTATTAGTAAATAAGATAACTTAAATGCTTCTCTTACCGCTTTATAGACACATCTAAATCCTTTAAACAATCCACAATGGTACTCCGATGCCTCTGTACAGCATTGTGGTCTGTTTGTACCGTCTTCAGTAGTGATGTCAATGCCACATATCTAGAAAAAAAGGGAATAAAACTTTACCTACAAGTCTCTCATAAAACCAGTACCTTCAGGAGTCCCAGAGTGCTTCAACCAGTGCAGAAACTGCCTCTTGAAATGCATGTGTCCTGGAATTCAATCATTGCGCAGTCACTGTATATTGTGAAATATAATCTGGATTCCCTATGCAGAATCACGCAAGTTAAGGTTTTGACTCAGGTTGATCACACTATTCTCTGCTTGCCACATACAGAAATCTCTGCCTGCAGAGTCTTACCAGTTGCCCATGTGCCATTGTCAGAGACATTATGCTATGTCATATGTCCTGTAAAATTCTATGTAGCTCAAACAGATTGACAGTAGGTGCTCTCCCCTGATGTTGCAAGGGTTGTAGGTGGGAGCTGATTAATGATTAATTCAACATTGGAGGAATATAAAAAAAGGTAACTGAGAATCACACAGAGCCATATTACATAACAAATCTATAATAAAAACTATATCTTACCTAATATTTTTGTCATTATTTAGAAGAAAGCGTCCCAGGATGTTAATTGCTAAAACCTGTAGTGAAAAAAACATTTAAGCATTTATAGATGGAATGTTCTTTGCCTATCATTTGCTTAACAGCCTTTAGAGTCAGCAAGGTAAACTACTTTAACCCCATCTCCAAACTAAGTCACAATTTTTTTGAACCAATGCAGTTTGCAATTACAAATTTTGCTCTTTAGAGGGGCTACATTTTTAAATTTAAAAATGTATAAACTCACCCTTAACCCACTTTCAGATTTGATATCCATTATTGTTAGAACTGTTTCATAAAGAATTGCATTGCCTACATTTTTACTGGTCTCTGTGTTTGTTGCAACCTGAAAAATAAAAGTGTTGAAATGAAATAGTTATACAGACAATACATTTGTTTCCCTTGCAGAATCTAGTAAAAAAATGAGCACTAATGCCAACAACAAACAACTCACTTGTGCAAGAATGTCATTCATAGCTTCACTGGAATCATCATCATTCCTTCCTAGAATCCGGAGTAATCTCAAAATCCGCACCTGAACAAATGAAAATGCACATTCTTAAATCTCACATTTTTCTTCAAATTGCTCCGTTATCATATAAGGGTAGGGATAGTTCCATACCTGTAGAAATGGATCACTGATCCCAGATACGTCATGTTCTGGGGAATAACCGGACATGATGAGATTCTTAAGGATTCGAACGAGCTGTGGAACAAGCTAAAAAAAAAACCAAAGAAAGGAAATAGTAAGGCTTTAGCTAAGGTACAGAAAAAAATCAACCAGTGTTGTGTTAAGACCTTGAGTTAATGTAAGTGATCAAAGAGAAACATGAAATGATTAGTGCTAGCGTCTCAGATCACTAACATTATCTATTTACTATGAAGATATTGTTCTGCTGCTACAATACCAGGTAAAACATAGCATAATCACTAGGAAACTGCTCTTTAACTTTAATTCTTTATACTCTGAAGTTTTCTTAAATTTATTTTCATTTAAAAACAATTTGTAATGGTTCGAAATTTCCCCTTTTACAAAAATCTTATTTACATTGCGTTTCTCATTTCTCTTCCGCCAAAATTGAACAAACTTTGTTCTCACCTCAACCTTAATTCAAATCCCAACTTAAATACTGATTAAAAAGTTTAACTTTACCCACTCCTGCGATATTTAATCTAATGGAACAAAAAACATCAGTTTACTCACACTGAAGTTAATTTTAAAGGTATTTGAAGAGTCATGTAGTTTTAGAATATTGCAGGATTTCTTTATTTAAAAATGTTTAAATAAATCATTAAACAAGACATTGAACTGAATAATACCTGAGAATTAAGACTCAACCACAACCTATTAAGTATTCTTTAGTTAGTTCTAATGCCAAATAAGTATAGTAGTCATTTTGGTTCTATGCTTCTTGACAACATTCGTGATGTTAGCAGCACCAACTTAGCACCAGATATTTGACTTCTCTAAATGATGATATAAATGAATTCGTATAAAGTACTATGATCTGATTAACAATGATAATTGGACAACAATAAAAATGCAGTTATTTTGCAACATAAAATCTTGTCATGACACAAAGGATAGAAGTGTAATATTTCCAAAATAATAAAATTACTTTGCACACAATAAACTGACTACATCTATGATGATGATGCAAAATGATCTCCTGGAGAGCATGCACCAGCTATGAACCATAATGTATTCTTACCTTCTCATTCTAACACAATGCAGGAATTGAAACAGACAAATGACAGAAAAAATATGAAGTAGATGTTAGGAAGAGTTTTAAAGAATTCATTACTTCAGAGAAATCGAAGAAAGATTAGATTATGAATATGAAGTGTGGCATCACTGGCATAAAGTTACACGAAAATTCCAACCAGTTAAAGGAAAAAAAGTATTCATTTGATGTGCCAAATGAGGTGCACACCATTAAGCTGATATAAACAAAAAAAAAACATTATACTGTATTTTTGAAAGGGGAAACTGTAAGGAAAGCAATTTTAAAAGGAAGCATTATGTAAAGATGGAATGCAAACATGATCTTCAAAACAAAGGAAGACGAAAAGTTTACATTTATTTTAAATTCATTCAATTTAGCTGTACAGATTTAAATAAACCGCTTAAAATATGAGAAGGAAATTGTACAGAACACCACAACCTGTAGACCAACATCCAGCTGGATATTATCCATGAATTTTGTCACAGTACACTTTTTTTTATCAAAGCTACCTTACGTTCATAAAATGGAAAAAAATATCAACAGGTTACTTATTTATGAACATAATGATGGTGATATATATGCATCAGCAGTGTTCCTTACTTTTCGGAAATGTGCTAGCATATCTGGGCTTCTTTCACACATTTCGGTGAGAAGAACTACTGATGTATGGAGAACACCTACAAAACGGGGAAAAAACGTCAATGTTTTATTATACTACTCTGCACTGTAACTGTAATAATGAGAAATCATACATATGGTATAGAAAATGTCCTTTGTGCAACTCAACATGTCATGGTACAGTAAAAGTCATTTTACTGTAATTCCTTTCCTGGGACGTTTACAAAAGTTTGCCTATATTGTTTGTACCATGTGTCTATGCATTTTGCCAGGCAAGATGATGTATAGATCTTATAGGTGCTATCTTTTGCAAAAACAACTCCTCTTTGTACATCTCCAGCTGCATATCCTTCATTTGTAATTTCTGCATTCTTTATTGTTAATGATATTGTTATCAACTACTTTTCAAACATAATGATTATGAATATCCTTCCTTCACTTGTTAATGTTTAAAAGATAGAAGATAAAATTCATAACAACAATAGCATCTAGCCAACATATTCAAATCCATTTCTTATCAAT